CTTCTGCTTGCTGTAGCCTTCGTGTCGCTTGCCCAGCTCGCCTCAGTGTCTGTAGCGGCTCGCTTCAGCGTTTGCTGCGGCTGTTCGAGCACGCTGTGCCAATCGTCGAAATCGACGGGAGAACTGTCGTGAGGTCAAGTGATTTACGATAAAAGCAGTCACGCGATAGGACAGTAGGGAAACATACACACGCGCATGCTTTGAGCGCGCGCGCCAACAAGGTGAGCGCGGTACTTATACACATGCGCACAGGACGAGCAGGCAGCTTTCGAGCCAGCCCCTTCGACCAATGATAACGGAGACGCACACAGAGACAGTCATCACTTTTATTCATTATACAGATTGGATTACGCTACTAGCCCCTTCCCCCAATTATTTGCTGTGTTAATCACTTACACCACAGGACGACGGATATTTTTGTGTATTTCTTGCTCTTGTTGGTATTCAATACGTTAATATAATATTCGGTTATTCAGGTTACTCATTATTTAGGCTCAACCTTTCGTTTAGGAGGGAAAACTAGACATATTGAAATTTAAATAATGAATCCTAGTCCAAACAAATAATCAAGTATACATGAACCTCGTACGTATTTATTGACTAGGAATGACTTTTGAAACGCTTAATTGGAATATAGGAATAAACATGTTATTTCTGGTCACCTACCCCGGCCATCTAACAACTTTTAAAACTGTCGATGCATTTTTTTGTAGGAAAATTATGCGTAAAAGCATTATCAGCCCTCCACGAAAACAAGTAATTTGGCAATCGTTAAGTGATTTCAATAGTTGTCTGACATCGTTATCATGCATAAATTATTCATCTTCAATAGCCTCTCGTTTGAGTCGTGCTTCCTGTTTCTTGCTTGCCCCATTTTTCTGGCAAATTACTCCTATTTGTGTTTTACAAAGTTGGCCTCATCCAGCACGTTCTACAGAAAACAGTATGCAAGCGCACGCTGTTATGCAAACGCTCAAACATAATGCGAAAAAATTGTCAGCTGATATACATAGAATCACTGTAATAAATAAAACTATTTAGAAAAGTAAATGTCTTAGTCGTTTTTTTGCGGAAATTGTTAGCCTCTTACACTTTTGATAATCAGTTGCGCATTCACCTTCTAAATCACTTACCCGCATAAACTTGACATATTTTTGATGAAGATATACATTAAGCGTTAGTTTTCACCTAAAGATTTGATACTAACCTACTAAAGTTTCTTTCAGCAAAATATAAAAGCCATTTTAAAATTGGTTAAAAAATGTCAACCTCTGATTTATCATTTTGGACAACGTTGTGCAAACTTTCTTACAGAGTACTTTTATTTTATGAGTATATGTATAAAAAAGTGGGTATATAACTATATTCCGATAGGTTTAACTAAGAGTATACTAGGCTTCAGAATTAGCGAAAGATTTGACAGATAGGCACAGTATTTACATGTAACGTTTGCTAAATTTTAAAAGTTGTTTGGTTTATTCGGTCTATTTACTCAGTTAAATGTGTTGTAATCCAATCAAACATTTAGCACCATCTTCTTTTACGGCCGAGCCACTTCAAAACACAAGCATAAAATTTGCGTGGAAAACGCCGGACCAAAATATCGATGGACTGCAGATTAGTATGTCGGCGTGGAACAATGAAAATAGATATAAATTGCCAGTATCGGCGTCAGTTGGGGACCAAACGGGTGTCTTGGACACAGTCAAACCTTTGACGCTATATAATACCAGCGTGTCCATAGTAAATGCCCAAGAAAACATCGAGATAAAATGCAGCCAACTAATACAAGTTCTCACTTTTCCAAATGGTAAGCAATATTTGTTTGATAACATACATAAACTTTGATATTCTTTCATCTAATCAGACGACAGAATAAAGGCTTTCATCAGTTTTAATCTGACATGGGACTGTTGATCTATGGACAAACGTTCGGGCAAAATCTGCAAATGTGAATTAATTAGATTTTTATATCGACAATTTTTAGTAAATACAGCACAAAATGAGAGTTCGTACTCTGCAAGTAACAATCTTTGGACAAACGAGGATAATTTGTAATAGATAAATTATTTGAAAATGACCTATACAATAATAAATACAAGTTGTTTCGGAGGATGGCGTTTCTACCGAAACTATCAAACTACTGTCATAGATGAAGGCCAACAACATTATAGTTGCGCGCCTTCCGATGAATATCGTTAATCATTTAGCGTGGATTTCCATATCATTTTATCCCAGAGGACGATCAATGGAATTTTATTCCTCCGTTCGTTCGTTCCAAAAACTGGTACTTGTCGAAAATGAAAAGCCACATTGACTTCTTAAAGATTGTGTCATTTATAAATGGAGGCAGTTTATGTCTATAACAATGTTCGCAGCTAGAAAAAAGATAATTTTTAATCTTCATTCGCAAACATAAATGCTCCACCGCATACGTCCATTTAACCTAACTGTCTTCGTTTACAACAGTGCCGACGATAACTGTTGCCGATGTCGGTGGCACTTGGATCTTGGTTAAATTTGCACCAATGCAAGGTGGAGTTGCTTTCGGTGTCCACTTCATTGCTAAAGCGACAGACGGAAACGGAGAAGGAAGTGACTGTTCCGTCAAGTCCACCAACCAAGATGCTGTTTGTTTAATTGAGGGATTGCAATTCTCAACCGTTTACACGATTACTGCTGTGGCCTGCATTGATGCGAAGTGTACCGTGGAGTCACCAACACAAACAAATGTGACGCTGGGCGAAGGTACATCGATTGAAACTAAAAATCGCATTTTTACTTTTGTGTGTTACTTGATAAATTTCCGTACGCTACCTATGAGCCAAGAAGGTAGCTGATGTCCGCATGATAC